AAAACTAGTACTAGCCCTGTCTTCGCCAATATTCACTGCTGTGATGAATACATGTGCTTCGCCTACCTAGTAGAGGAACAGTTAAGTTCCACTTTGCCCAGGAGTTCACAACGTGAATCCGCCAGACCGTCACATAGTGACCATGATGATATGATGAAATGGATCCGACAAATCAACTGTTACTCTACTAGATCAGGAAAGCACATATATTCATCAGATTCCAGTGTATGTGAATGTCGTAAAAAACTTGACTTGTGAGTATAACATGACCTTTTACATTTGTCCTTTAAAAAGACCCTTTATTTACCTAACCATCTGCTCTCCGTGAATGGGGCCATTTTTGCTGAAAATGCAGGTTTGTAAAATCCTCAATATAGCATGCTTCTTCTTCTTCTTCTTCTAAACCGACAAAGCAAGGAGCCAGTGGTGCCGTGGTAGAGTACTGAACTCAATGACCACAGGTCCCGGGTTCAAATCTCGGGGGTTCCGACCCTTGAGATTGGGTATGAGTGGCTGATGACGGCTAACAAGCCAGAAATTGCCATCCTGGTCTCCCCTTGCTTTGTCGGATCCATTTAAGTCACTGCTGTCTCAGGCAGCGGTGCAGAGTCGTGTGTACAATAAAACCCTCATTTTGGTGCCTTCTGTCTTTTATATACAAGGTGATCTTTGGCCTAATGACTATAGTGCTCTGAGTACAAAGACTAATTAGAATCCTACAGATCTACCGCATTCATGTCCCTCAGATGGGTAGTTTCACGGTTTTCATAAATAATAATTTTACAGAGAATGAACCGGGAGGAAAACGTGAAACGTTCTGTGCCTTAGGTGGAATCATACTTCTGGTCCCGTAAGGTATATAAATACTCTGATTCTTTCGTGACAACACATCGCACCATAAATAAACAACGAAATTTACTTGCTCATAGTTTATTGGGTGTGACAAATGTGGGCATTTTTATTTGCTTTAAAGTTTATTGTTTCTTGATTTTCCTGAAATAAAATGGTGGTTAGGTGGTCGTCTACTTCAACTTACCTGATGTCTAACATACCGTTTGCGGCGCGAACCGCCGCACACCCCTTCAATTTATATGCGCAACATCTTTACGTTAGTTTATTCTATTTGGTTTACTTATTTTATTCATATTTAAGTTCATTTTTCAGTTCATTATTATGTCAACTATTTTTATTTTAGTTTCAGATTATTTTAAAAGTAAAGTCAGTTTACCCTTCTTTAGTTTACATCTAAGTTATATGATTTTAGCTTTAGTTTATCATTTTTTAAAAATCTTTTATTCCCCAACATTTGCATGATTGTGGCGCGCTCTTTTGTTGACAAATATTAGATTATGAAAAGAAAGAAGATCTTCTTTCTTTTCATCATATTATTTCGGAATGCAAATTACTTCATTCATCCAAATATAAGATTATTTAAATAATTATTCCTACTATTACAACCTTTATACACTTCAATTTTTATTTTTATTTCCTCTCCTTTGTATTGTTCAGACTGTATACTCTTTACTTCACCCGGTTCTAGATGGCAGAAGGATGGGGCCTCCACGTGCTGGTCTGGGACCTAAACTAGGATTCTGCCACCCGTCTTCCGGCTCCTCTATTTTATTTCACCTTCGTTTTAGTCAAATGTTGCCGATTCTCATCCTTGACAGCTTGCTATACGCTGTTGAGCTGATTCAGATTTCGAGCAGTCCACGTTCCATGGTTTCGAATTTCACACTACGGGACAAACCTAACATATGTAAACTAACACTGCAAACTCTTGGCCAAACCTACGCAATCTAGGAATCAGCCTCTCTATCAGTATAGGAACTTTTCAAGATAGTGACTTAGAAACACTAACAGGTGTATATGGCTAATGTTCGTCTATGTCTTTAACTCAAAACGCGCCAGCTTTACTGTATTTTTGAAATATCCATGTACGAACATAAGCCTTATACTGTCCAACCTATTGTTAAATATACCCCAGCCTCTGAACGGCCTCCAACTACAGAGGTTGATCAAGAAACTATTAATCTTGACATGCTGCGAAGAAGAACATACAATCTAGCATGAAATCCGTACAGTTTCCACTGGATATTCAAGATTCTCTTATTAAAAAAAAACACTTTGAAAATCGTTAAACTAAAATGGATAGGACTTCATCATAGACTGCCATTCGAGTGGCCTTCATTGTATGCAACATCACAAGTCTCGAACTAGGAAAGAATTCCTTCACCATTTCTCATTAGCCAATTAAACACATCCCCGTGCTATAGGTAGATGCCTAACATACCGCGTTTACAACTATTTAATACACAGAGTCGTGATATGTAACTCCACAAGCGCCAGAGACACTTCAGAGACGCAAACGCATACAAGCCAACGTAAGTCTTTTGCACATGTACTTAAAATTACGAAATTAAATGTGGCATAGTCGGCCAAATAAAAGACGGATGAATACAAAAAGATGTGTTCGAGTATGGAAAAGAGAAAGCTTGCCATGGTTAAAAGCCAACGAAAGACAAAGTTATGCAAGCACGGGTGACGGTGTGCCGCCGTCCGAAAGAAGAGCCTGGCAGAAGTCAAAACTATCGCGATCTGCGGTAAGAAGTTCGGATAATGGACTAGCAGTCAGCTGTAAAAACGAATTACTGCCAACATCTGTCGTTAGCTCCTCTCTCTGGTAACATTCTGGA